CATTTGGAATTGAATTTGTGTATGGTGTGAGATAGGGATCAAGATTTGTTTTCCACCATATGAATATCTAAGTGATCAAGCACCATTTATTGCAAAGTCCATCTTTCCCTCACAGTACTACAGTGGGACTCTTGTCATAATCAGGTGACTGTTTATATATGGGTCTATTTTTAAATTCTCTGTTCTCTTCCATTTGTCTAATTATCTTACTTTGTTTTTGAATTCTATACCTTTATAGTAATTCTTGGTATCTTCTACTGTAAATCCTTCAGCTATTTTCTTATTTGTCATGATAAGGTTAGTCTTATCCCTTTGCATTTTCATACGAATTTTAGAATCAGCTTGTCAATTAAAAAAAAAAAGCTTGAATTTTAACTGGAATTTCATTGAATCTATAAACCAATTTGAAGAGACTGATGCCTTTCCATAGTGTGTCTTTTAATCCACGAGCATGAGAATGGTTTAGTCATCCCTCCTCATTTATTTAGGTCTTCTTAATTTCTTTCAGGAATGTTTTGTAGTTTTTCATGTAGAGGTCCTGCTCATCTTTTGTGAGATTTATTCATAAGTATTTGATGGTTATGATACTATTGTAAATGGTTCTTTTAAAATTATATTTTCTAATTTTGTCAGTATGTTGAAACAAAATTGATGTTTTATGCTGCTATTGTATCAGTGATGTTGTCAAATTCACTTATTATTTCTAATAGTCTGGATTCTTATAGATTCTATATGTACACTATCATGACATATATGACTAATCACAATTTTATTCTTGTTTTCCAATCATTGTATCTTTCTAATTCCTTTTCTTTTACTTAAATCACTACATTGACCAAGACTTCCAGTATAATGTTGACTACAGGTGGTGAGAATGGACAAAGTTAGGAGCCTTTTGAAAACCTAGGTACCCAGTTCTCATCCCCTCAAAATTCAGCAGGTCCAGGTTGGGGGCCTTGAAAATCTACATTTTAACAAGTATTCTAAGTGATATCAATGTAAGGGTGTCCTAGAAACACACTTTGAGTAATATTTTTAAAGCCTCACTCACCTGAAGAGTTTTCTTGATTAGGATGGATTATTGCTCTTTTCTTTCTTCCTTCTGTTCCCACCTTCATCTTCTTCCATGCTAGTGATAGAAGTATAAAATATTACTTTTTTGAGCACTCTATTTTGCTGCTTCTCTTTCTCTGTCTCTAGGTCTGGATATAACATGCATGTATGGGTCTTCAGTGTTAAAATGTTGACTGGCTTTAGAAAAGAAAAAAATCCTCATCCTGAGTCAGCAGTCCTACTCAAAAAGAAGAAATCTTTTTTAAAAAGTATATTCAAAAGTTGTTGAGATCACAGTTGAATTCAGTTCTTTCTATATACACACCCACACCCACACATGCACACATACAAACAATCATAGGGGTGTTGCCACATGATGGAAACAGTATGAGGGGAAAAAAACAGATTCTAAAGGATACACAGTTGTATAAAATAAAACTTGAATAATATGAAATCACTTGAGAGAAATATGGATACCATGTGGTTTCCTAAATATGGTTAGTTCCAAATCAAAGGAACAATATATTTTCTTAGATTAAGAGACAAAATATGCCATGGATATTCATGGAAGGAAGAAGAGATAGAAAATAGCTGCAAATATCATAGAGTATTAGAGTTGGGCGGGGCCTTTCAGATCATGTTAGCTGACCCTGCCATTTTTATAGCTGACATGACAGAGATCCAACCTGGTAGAGTGAGTGACTTGCCCAGTGTTACTTGGTGAAGTAGTAGTGGTAGTACTGGGCGCAGCACCCAGCATCCCAGATTCTACCCCAGAGCTTCTTGCCTGATGTCACTCAGATGGTTTATGATAAGAGATCACATATATGAACAGAATCCCAGAGAATAAAGAATGTGGATACATCAGAACAAACCCACAGAAGTGAGTCCTTCATGCAGGATTAGAGGGAGCTACATGAAACGGGATCAATTTTGTGAACAAATTGTAAGATGTGAGAAAGGAGGCAAAGTGAAAAGGAAATGGGAAAAACTAGTGAGACAAAGAAAACAGTAAATTAGGGAAGTCAAAAAATGGAAGATAATATAAATAACAACACAATAAATTAATTCAAGAACATGTAGACAGATGTAGTATTTTTCTGTCATTTTTGTCAAAAATGTATCTATCTAGAATTGTTTCAATAATAAAATGTCCATAATGAAATTGTATGAAAGTACATTTAGACGCCTTTAAAGAAAATTACACCTAAAGTAATGGCAAAGTTAAGTTCTTAATCTTCTAAAATGCTGAAGGAAGAAGATCTAGAAATCCAAAGATGTACTTCTCTATATCAAGAACCATTAAATGTAAAATCAAAGAAACACAGGGAAAGCTAGGGCTAGGTGTTTCTTCAAAGGACTCTACTGGGTTTTGTTTTTAAGACATGGTTGAAGAATGAAAATACAACAGGGTGGAGAATCCCAAATATTTTGAACAATCAAGTGGTACTGCCTTAATTCAAAGAGAGGTAGAGTTTTTACAGTATTCAGAATTGTTGGACTCAATTTCCTTACTTTTGCACTTCCTTAAGAGCCTGAACCTAAATGTTACAATCATAATATTTGTTTGCAACCTGACTAGCCATGTAAAAGCATTAACCTTCATGGTTCATTTGATGAGCCAAAGACTTCTGTTTTACCTCCTGGGAGAGGAGGCATCCATTTTTAATCAATGTTTAACAGAGATAAATGGGACATAATCATAAGACAAAAGTCATAGAAAAGTGAATTTTAAGTGTGGCTAGTCAACCAAATACATATACTTAGCAAACTAATATACCGGTTAAGGACACAGGATTTAAAATCAAGCAGATATAGGTTTGGTCCCCAGTTCACTCCTTACTATTCATTACTTATGTAACAACTCCTTCTTTCGCTTCTCTCCTTCCCCCCTCCCTCTCTTCTCCTCCCTTCTTCTGTTAAAATATATCTATTGAGCATTTACTATGTACTGGGTTCATGCCATAGACTAGTGGGACAGTTATCTGACATTGCTGAGGGAGGACATGGAAAGTTTATAGGGAAGAAATTTGTGGTGTGTGACACAAGCAAAAGTGTAGATGCAGAAGTAAGCCAGGCTGGGACAAATCTGAGCAGACTGGAAACAAATAATGGGGGGTGCGTTTGGAAAAACACGTTAAAGTCAGGTTGTGAAAGGCTCTGCATGCCAGGATAAGCAATTTCAAATTAACTATGCAGATAATTGGCAAACAATTAGAAACTGAACGATTTGGAAGGAAGTCTAGTACAGAAAGCCAAAGGAGGAGACTATTTCAAGAATAGTTTACTATGTACTTCAGAGCAGACAAAAAAGAAATGGATTTAACTGTTAAAAGGATATGATGACCATTAAAATAACTTTGGGTGCTGGGGATAGAAACCAGTGGTGGGGATGAAAGAGGGGACTGAGGGTGAAGACATGGAGCCTGTGGGGCAAGAGTTCCACGGGAAGCTTTAGCAGAATGGGAAGGAAATAGTCTGGTAGAGATTGAGAAAGCAGTGAGGCCAAGGGCAGCTATATTTTTCCTAAGATGAAGAGTTACTAGCTATGTGTGAAGTAAAAAGACCCGTGTGGAGAGCCTGAAGATTCTAGGGTGCAAGAGTTTGAACTGACAGCTGAAGTGCAGAGGGAAGTCTTGCAGAGCTGGGGCAGCACTTCTTCCTCTGAGATTGAAGGGTATGACTTGACACTGAGATCTTTTTTGTAGCAGGGAGGGAATCAAGGCAACGTTTATCTGTGTACTCCAGGTGAGCTCTTATTGGCAACATCAGGCTACAAAAAGACCAAGTGACTGAGGCTGTAGAAAGACAAACATCAAAGAGTTTAGCCCATCAATAGATTCAGTAGGAGCATCAAACCATTCTGATTCACACTCCAGAAACCTTTCTACTTCCTTCTGTGCTGTGTAATGTGGGAAGGTTGCAGTGCAAACATTCAAAGAAATGTAAAGCGCCCTTGATCTTCACCTCAATGGCACAGGGTTATAGAGACTACAGGTCCAATGCAAAGACCATTATTTGTCCCCAAAGTCACCAAATAAAGAGAAAGTTAAAGGTTAAAATGAATGGATATTTATGTAGACATAAACACATCCTAGAAGTTAGTGATTGTAGAAGAGGGTCACTCAATTCTGTGTGAATATGTCTAGTCTACATTCAAAGCATCAACTCTGAAAACTTTATTGCCGAACTCCTCCCAAACTTGTATATACTTTTCTTCTACCCTCCACCTCCAGGGTTCAAGGGGGCAGGTAAGACGGCTTCTGAGGATTGCAGATCTGGTTGCATCTTTATTTGAGCGCCGGGTTGGGAAAGAGGGAGCGAAGGGATACCCTGTGTGCAGAGCCCTCCTCAGTGACCACCGGGGGCTTGCACTCCAGCAATAATAATTCCACGCAAGAAAAGCTGAAGTTTTTATATCTGGCCAGGCATCCTCAGTCTAGAGAATCCTGTGGGCTAAGGAGACCCTAGTGTGCACTTGAAGAGCAGAGTAAGTGCGTTTGGCGGGAGAGGGCACAGTGCTGACTGGGCATCTTTGCTTTGGAGTCTTCCCTTTCGCATCAGCCTATCTGTGCCAACAGCTGAAAACTGGGGCTGCGGGCAGGAGGCGGGGTGTCAATCGGGAACACTGACCCATTGGCCCTGTGGCTGCACGAGCAGTTAGGGGAGCCCTGGGCGCAAGCCTGGGATAGCCTGATCTCTGCTCCAGTCCACAAATCCTTAACGGATTTTCTTTCTCTCCCTTCACCCTTTTCTCTCCTTTGCTCTCTTTCTTTCTCTCTCCCTCTTTTTTTTCCTTTTTCCCCTCTTTTCCCCCTCCCTCCCCGTCCCCTTCCCTTCCTCTCCCATCCCCCTTTCCCCTCCCCCTCCCCGTGTGTGAGCCTCTTCCTTTCCCCTCCTCCCCTTTTCCGCCTCCCTCTCTCTCTCCATCTCCTTTTCCCTCTCAGCTCGCCGGGCGACCCTGCTCCTGCCTCCCACATTAATGGCGGCATCTTCGGAGGATGATATAGACCGGCGGCCCATCAGAAGAGTCCGCTCCAAGAGCGACACGCCGTACCTCGCCGAAGCCAGGATCTCCTTCAACCTAGGGGCAGGTAAGGACGACCCTCTCGCCTTGCTCTCTCCTCCACCCCGCTTCCTCGTCTCCCTTCCCTCCTCGCCGGCTGGCTCAGCCCCCTGCCCCTCCTTGGGTGTCCCCCTCCCGGCAGTGCCCTCCCTTCCGCCCCTCTTTCTACCCAGCCGGGCGCCGGGCTCGCTCTCTCGCTCTTTGTGTCGCCGGTATTCGGAGGGGTGTGTGTGTGTGTGTGTGTGTGTGTGTGTGTGTGTGTGTGTGTGTTGCGGAGGTGGGGGAGGGTAGTGCGTGGAGCCCTACATCCGCCCAGGAGTCACACGCGGGCTTTCCCCTTCCATGAGGAGAAGAAAGTGTTGTCAGTGGTAACAATGATCTTAGGAATCACCAAGAGCTGGATCGGGATGCGAGTGCACTGGCTGTGGGCGGAGGGTCTGGCAAGGCTCTGCTGGTGAGGTTTGCTGGCAGGGCTACTACAGGGTGGAACTTGTTGGTGACATTCAGACTGGTGATTTTGCTGGGTTGATACCACTGCTGCGGGTGTGGGCTGGGGAGAGAGTGGGGGGATGACAGCTAGGAACAGGACCTTATGCTTTCACCAAGCAGTTGGAGAGCAACCCTAGGGAAGATGATAATAATAACACGGTCCATAGGATACATGTTAGGTGATTTGATTCTGTCACTGGTACTGGTGCCCAAATTGGCCCAGATGGAATTAAGTGAAAAGGACAACTGAGGTAAAGGAAGGAGGGAGGTGGGAGGGAGGAGGATAGAGAGGGAGGGAAGAAGGGATGGAGGGAAGGAAGAAGAAGGGGCAATAGAAAGGACTGAGGGATTCAGAAAATCAAACTGCTTCAGTTGAGACCTCTCAGGGTACCTGATAAGAGGCACCCAATGTCTGCTGTCCCCTCTGCTGCAGCTGCTCCAGATTCACAGGCCGAGCTCACCCTCTGTTACTAGTAGATGGTCACTATCACTGGGAGGAAGTTGTTCGCCACTAACTTCATAGTGCTGCCTTTTCTGAATGCCTCCTAAGCTCCCCAGCTTGTGTTTCTTCCTTTCCAGAGTCCCTTAGTATTCTAGCAATTCCAGTGCAAAAAGAGTGAGGGCATTTTTCTGAAGACCCTCCCTCAAAATAGGTTTGAAACGAGTTAATACCTTTTTCTTTAGAAAACTAAATCCCTGGAAATGGAAAAGAATCAAAGTATGCGTGTGCATGTGTTGGAGCAAAGAGGACCTTCAAATGATAAGTATTGCATACACTATTGAGAAGTTTGGACAAAAGAAAAAACTTTGAGTAGAGAAACAAGATGTGGTGGCCACGTACCCATATCTTCACAACTGGAAGAATGGCAATGGAAAGTACCAAAGTGGCCAAGGTCCTTGGAGTGCTATTTTCCTGTCTTGGTGATTTGGGGTTTTGATCATATGTTCCTTGTCACTCCTAAAATGTTTTCCTCTGGATTTAGGGCTAGGGAAATGAGGTCTTTATCGGGGGAAGCTTTGGCCTTTTTTGTGGCATGCTGTAGTAGCCTATGGTCTCATTATGGAACTCTTAATCCTTCACTTGTATGTTCCAGATTCAGGGTGTGGTTGTGAGGAGTCTTCAAAAGGACTGAGAAGAGTTTCTTTTATGACTGAGATTGTTTTCTCACTAAGTGATATTAGAAATTGTACCACTGACCCCTTTGCTACCACACTCTGGTATATTCCTTAATGTCTTTGGCTTAGCACAGGAGAAAAAGGGCTAGAGTGGGTTAATAAAGGTTGTTTACCTTGTTTTACTTTTACAGCAAAACAATAACATAAAACACTAAAAGGGAGCTCCAAGTTTCAGCCACTCCTGAGTTGGGTTGAGCCATTTTGCCACCAGATTAAATCCAGTGACTTGCAATCTTTTATTCTGGTTGGATTACTCTGGAGGCCAATTAAAAGATTGGACTTTTCAGACAAGACTTGTCTGCCTTTAATCTGGAAATAAACAAGCCCAACAAGCTTCCAGTCCCTTCTATATGTCCCTTAGAATCCCCCTAAAAGCAAAATCAAGAAAGACACCAGCAAGAAAGAGAAATACCATCCAGAGGATGTTGGAAAGAAGGGAGGGCGACTGCAGTGGGCTGTGTTCTGCGGTTAGGGGAGCTGTCCTCTCTCTGTGGTGCTGAAGCGAAGGACTGTGTGACAGAGACATGACTGTAAGTGGGGGAGGGGTGCCCAGTCCCTCCAAATGATGGAATCCCAGGGAAAACACAGAAGATCTAGCCACCGAAAACTTTTCTATCCCTGCCCACCTACATTTACCGCCTGTTTACTACGCCTCACGCCTACTACTCCACTGCTCACATCAGGCAGTTCTGCTCTAATTTTGTGCAGGCTGCTCACTCTTGGCGCTTTGTTTATTTTCCAGCTGGTTTCTGGTTGCTTTCCTGACATAGTAAGATCTACTCGCAGATGTGCCTTTCCCCCGCGTTTAAAAGTAATTGTAACCCCTGGTTTAAAAAGCAAACAGCCTTGTTTATCTCCTTGAGCAGCAAGTTGTAATTAAGCTATTAGTGTCGTTATCAGCATTACTGAACAGAGGAGCCTGCACACTTCGGATAAATTACATAATTTGGGCATAGAGAGAATTTTGTTTGTCTCTTAACAATAATTTATAAACAATTAAGCAAGGAAGCTTTAATCTGCCCTTTATTCCCACTCCTCTTCTACCCTCAAATAGTCACTTACTGTTTATTCTTTCCAGAGAAATTCTTTATTGGTTTAAACTATTTATGTTTAATATTTGCTTTCTCACACCCACTCATTATATATAAGTCCATGTTTAATATTTTAGAGGTTTAGTAATGCTTCATGGAATAAATATATATATATATTCATTTTATTTGGAAATCACAAAATCATTTTGGGTACCAACTCCCTTAAACTAATCTATATAGTTGCCAAATAAAGTGAACTGGGCATTTTGAATACTAATTAAATACTTAAGCATCCTTTCAACTACATCTTGTCCCTGAGGGCACTTAATACCATTTCAGAAATAACTCCACAGCTTGAGTGAAGGATATCCTCCTTCACCTACAGTCCCAAGTCAGTCAAAGAATAGCACCAAAATGTGGGTCTTAAATCACTTTATGAAGATGCAAATTTCAAGTTTCAGCCTAAACTGAGTATAGAACAGAAATTTTCTGAACCATGACTTCCATTTTTTCTAAAAGAGCCCCTTTTGTAGGTTTTTAACTTCTCTTCAGCACTTAGTATATTATGCTAATATTGATAATGATTGTTTACTGAAGATAGTATAAATGTTAGAGAAAATTAAGCCAAGGTATTTGCTGAAACTTACCCAGACACATCAGACCTCATTTAAAACATTGGAAGAGGTTTTTTTTTCCTGAGAAATTAAAATGTGTTATAAGGACATCGTGTAACAGAAGAATATGTTCACACTATTAGTAGCAAGTGTTTCTAATTGTGTTCTCACTTACTAATGAACATCACTGACATTTAGCTTGTGAGAACTTACCCTGCCTTATGAGGTCATTCATTCACTGCATTGAAGTAAATGCAATGAAGAGTTGCTGCTCATCTGGTGGATGTTTTCCTATAAGCTAGTGTGTTTTATTTATCTTTATACTGAGAGCACATAGAAGAGTATTTGATACATAGAAGTTGCTGAAACTGAAAAGTTCTCTGCAATTACACACTGAGGTGAATGGAGGTATTATGGTAAATAGGAGATTTAAGCACATCAAAAATTTCTTAGAGGATGTCAAAAGAAGGAAGGCTAGTTACCCTGATGATTTAGGATTGTTTAAAACCCAAAACCAATATTGAGCCACGACTGAAAACAGTAACTACTTCTCTAATCATAAGGAAGTTTAACCTTTGTTGACATTTCAGAATTGCTTTTGCATGGAGTAGATTTTAAGTTAATAGCATGGTCAACCTCAGAATACCTATCCTCCTTGGGAGGTCAAGATCTGTTTTAGTTTCGATGTCACCCAAGAATAGCTGTTTCTGACTTCTACTGGTCTTCTCCATTCTTTTAGGCACAGAGGATAATGGCAGTCAAAATTGGCTTGTTCTGGCTACCTGTAAGAATGGCTGGGTCAGCCAGATTAAGTTATAAACTGGGTCTCAGGAGATCTCTTTCCTGCCTTTCTTGAGGAGGAAAACTTTATCTCTTAGCTAAATTATGAAAACCTATGATACTGAGAAATGACAGCCCAGAATGTGCCATTATCACTTAGCAAAGAGAACTGTCCCTAGGCAAAATTGTAAATATTTTCATACTCACCCAAGATTGTTTCACCAATCTGAAGGTCTTGATAAGCATCTTCCTTCACTCTTTCACTGAAGAATGCCAATGTCTCCCTCATAATATATTTTTTTACTGATTTCAAATTGAAGGCAGATCATATGGGTCTAGCTTTTATTTGGTGGGCCCAAAGTCTCCTTGAAAGTATTGCTTCTAAAAGAAAGAAAGAAAGAAAGAAAAAGGAGAGAAAATACTGCTTTTCACATTCAGTAGCCACAATGCAAATGGATGGCCACGTAGTTGACTAGAAGCCTCTATTATGGGACTCTCTGAGGGTCTGTTGTTAAAGCTAACCAATCTGGTAATCTCATTATGTAATGCATTCAGATGGTACTGATGAAACCACTCCAGGCAATATAAATAATATAAACAAGGTTAAGAAAAGTAAATAATTAACAATATGAGAAAATGGGAAGCCCTTTGCTATTAATATTTAACATGGCTGCTTACCATGTCATCGTTTCAACAACAATCCATATGTTTATGAGACAACTCAAGTACAAAATCTGTGTCACATGGTAAATTTTCTTGGGATCTTTGGTCTAGGCATTATTAATTTTTTTAACATCTAAGTATTATATTTACTATTATCTTATCACCAAATGATAAGTTACTTGTTTAATTTGTCTATAAGGGTATATATATTTTGATTTTATGGTAGACCATGGAGGTGTGTTTTATATGAAAAATATGAATCAAGAGTCAGAAAAACTTGATTTTAATGCATCTCTGCTTCTAAGAGCATGGGCAAGTCATTTAATTTTTCTAGGCTTGATTCATTCAGCCCTAAGATGAGGGATTTCGATTTTAAGACCTCTAAAGTCTCATCCAACTTAAAAATTTCCTATGAATAACTGGTACTTCTAACTCTAGCTGTGCTACTGGATATACACTATACCACTGATTTTTATATGCCATCTTACTTATGGTATAGAACATATAGTAGAATAGCATAATTATAGCAATAATTAAAATATTTGATTACAGCTAAGTTGTGAAAATATGTTTAATTGAAAGAATTGATAAATATTAACAATCAATATTCTTATTAATAATGTACTAGAAGGCACATTTACAAGCATCATCTTAATTAAAATGTTTTAAGTTTGAATATTCAGGGATTAGAGTCTTTGACTCGGTTGATGCTTTGTAAATATTTGTTTTATGATTGAATAAGGTATTGGAGAAATCATAGCAATAAACGGAAAGTGAGAAAACTAAATATTAACCCAGTCTCCCAATTGGCATTTTAAGTTTCTTAGCCTCTCCTCTTTTATAATTAAAATAAATGGGGTATATAAGATCTATATTTTCCCCTTATCCTTTTAAATTACCGGGGAAGGTAAATGTACCCCTTTGGAATTCAGATAGCATAACCCTAACTTCTAGACACTAACTGTAAAACTTGGTCATGGATTACAAAGAATTTTTTTTTCTTTTTCTTCCCAGGCATATATGGTAATAGGAGCAAGTAAATTTTTGGTTAGAATAGGTGCAAAACAATATATTCCATGCATATATTTTAATACCAAGCAAAAATATTTTAATATTACACATGGAGTTACTCCTTGATGAATTCAACTTCAATTCGTGATTACTTATTGTACAAGCAGGTATTAGGACACAAGTGGAAACAGAAGATAGTTTGTAGAGCTATTTTTCTCCTTGACTTGATAAGGTGAAAAGGGGGACGTGTACTATACCCAGTGTATTATGTCATGTAAACAAAAGAGGCCCTGAAAGAACTATTAATAGAGATAATATGTTCCTCATTGTATGATACAAGAATTCTAGCATTTTTTCCCCTTTGTTTCATCTCTGTCCCCACCTACTTCGGTAGGTGATAAAGTGGATGTGATTTCAGGAGGAAAAAAAGTGGGCCATGTTGACATCTTAATTGCTTTAATTTATAAGTCTTTTATATAATGTAAGATAGTTAAATAAAAGACAAAATCAATTTTATGGCCTTATTGAATGATGATGGATTGGCATGACTTTCTACACAGGTTATCGAAGGACAACAGGACAAATAACACTACTAGTTATTTAACATTTATGAAGGCAAGTGTTGTGTAAAAGTCTGTAGCTTTCCTATTGATCTTTTCTACCACATCTGTATAGCCTAAACTAACAATTCAGGAGCAGAATCTTTGAATAGTAAACACTTGAGCTGTAATTATAGTCATGAAGATTCAAAGTATGTCTTGGTTTTGAAACTATACTGAACTTTATTAATATGATTGTTTGCCATTTATAGACATAGAGAGCCCATTATTTCTGGATCTCTACAAAACATATGATAGCAAGTTGGTTTAATACTCAATCATGGTGTAAAGAAGAGTATAGAAAGAGCTTCATTATGCTTGAATTTATCCCTATTCCATTTGGGCCCTGTGCTTTGTGGGGGAAGTGAAGAAGGTTAAGAAGAAATAATAATATAATAATATTTCTTCATTCAACAAATATTGAGAAGTTAAATATGTATTAGACCATGTTTTAGACACTTGGGAAACATTAGTGATCAAAACAAACAACATCTAACCCTCATAAATTTTAACTTCTAAAAGTGGGTTATGGACAATAAACAATATAATATTTACATACATTGTATGGTATTTTATAAGTTAAGTGTTAGGGCAAAAACAAATAAAGCAAGCTAAGAGTATAAGGCACCTGGAGGCAAAGAAAGGGGTGGATTGCAGGATAGGTGACATTGAGAAGGGGGAACGAGAATGAAGTTCTCCAAAGTAAGTGAGAGAATGAGCAAAGCCAGTATGGGTAGCCAGGGCAAGAGAGAGCTTAGGGAATGCAAATGGAAA